CCTCCTCCTCCTCCTCCTCCTCCTCCTCCTCCTCACACCTCTTCAGGTGTTCCTTCCAAGCCAGAGGCTTTTGCAAATGAGGGGGGGGGGCTGCTGGGAGGAGAGGATGGCCTGGAGGAAGGTCTCCCCCTCCGGCAGGTCCAGGAGGCCCTCCAGGACAGTCCGGAAGAGCCCAAGGCTGTGGCTATCTGAGTGGCTGAGGTGGCACTGAACCTCCGAGTGACCCAGTGGGGCGGGGCGGCAGAATGGGTCCTGCCTCAGAATTTAGGGAAGAGGAGCAGAAATTAAAACTAAGCAGGGTAGGCAGGGGCCCCATCAACCACTGGTGTGGTGAAGCATCTCTCGACCGCAGATGTTGTGAAGGAGGGAGAGAGAAACAGATGCCCAAAAAAACTCCTGGATGGTCCTTAAGAGGCTGGATTCCCCCCCTCCCCTGCTTGGGACTGGGGTGGTGGTAGATCCAGGGGTTCAGCCACTGACCTTGACAAAGTAGTTCATCCCGGCCACCACCTGCTGACGGTACAAAATGGCCTTGTATTTGGCAAACGTCCGGTTCGTCGCCTCCTCCAGCTTGGGTTTCACCTGGTGGCAGAAGCGACACGGCCAAGGCAATGAGGCCGCAAGAGGGCACCTCTGGGAGATGCCAGGGAGGCCCTCGCCGCCTCACGGCTCCTCGCCGGCCTGGGCAGACGACGGGGGCTTGAGGGGCGCATGCTTTGGGGGCTCCTTGGGGAGGTCAGGAAAGGGGCATCTCTTGGCACAGCAGGGAAGGGAGCTGGGTGAGGGTCCTTCGGAGGGGTTGGGGGGATGACCTACCTGGTTAGCAAAGCCTTGAATTTCGGGGGTGGCTGGTTCCGGAGGCGAAAATCCCCCAAGATTCATGGTGCTCAAGTTCTTGGGAGAAGCAGCTGGCAGACGGGGTGGGTGTTGACTGAGGAGCCTCTGGGAGCAGCCCAGATCTTGGTCTTTTATGGCCAGTCCAGGGAGCTGCCTCTTGTGATTGTGTGTTGTGCTGCTGCTGTCACGTGAGGCCATCCCTGCATGTGGCCAGGGCAGTTTCATCCGGGGCCCTGCCCTCCCGGTGACGGAAGGAGGAGAACCAGCCCGACCCTGTCGGGGCCCTTTCGCAAGAGGGACAGGGTGGGGCCAGGCGCCGGCGTGTGAGTCAGGGCCTGCCCGGAGGCCAGAGCAGAGGCTGAGAGGCAAGCAGCCAATCTCTGGTGGGGTTGGGCTGCTGGGACCCCAACTGGCTCCTGCTCCACCTGCCGTGGGAGTGGGGGGACCCAGGCCAAACCCTCCCTCCCTCTA